CGGAGGGAGATGGATATACTCTAGGGGGGACTCGAGCCCCATAATCCAGGCCGACACTCCCTCCCTCCCTCCCTCCCGGTGCCAGTACTGAGGGAGCGGCGCACTGTTGGACGTGAGAGAAGAGAGACATTCTTGGAATCTCTGCAGTGTGGAAACAGGCCATTCAGCCCATCGAGTCCACATTGAACAGCATCCCACCCAGACACAACACTTCACATTATCCCTGTAACCATGCACTTCCCATGGCAAATCCACCCTAACCCGCACATACCTCGGGCATTATGGGTAATTTAGCATGGCCAACCCACCCTACCCCGCACATCCCTGGGGCACTATGCGTAATTTAGCACAGCCAACCCACCCTACCCCGCACATCCCTGGGGCACTATGGGTAATTTAGCACGGCCAACCCACCCTACCCCGCACACCTACTGGACTGTGGGAGGAAACCGGAGCGCCCGGAGGAACCCCCCCGCAGACACGAGCGGAGAAAGAACATGCAAGCTCCACACAGACAGTCGTCCGAGGGTGGGATCGAACCCCGGGGTCCCTGAGGCAGGAGCGCCGACCAGCTGGGGGCCGCGCGTGCCGCAGATTTAACAAAGGCACGAGAGAAGGGCAGCCTGTTTTGACCCAGAGGGTAGTCCGCAGGTGGAGCAAACGTCCCAGGGAAGTTGGGGAGGTTGGGGGCGGGGGGGGTTGGCGCAGATACAAGGTTGGAAAGACAGAAGGAGGGGGACAGGAGAGGGCAAGAGGGGACGAGTCCAGTTCGGCCGCTGTGGACAGGTTATGGTCGAAGGACGCGGGCAGGAAATGTTTCGTTTTGTCTCTCTCCCTCTCTCTCCGTGTGTGTGTGTGTCTCCATCCGTAGAAACAGCGCAGGGCGAAGGGAAGGGACGCAGAGAGACTGCACACCAATCGGAAAACATAAAGAGGAGCTGACAGCATAATTATACATATGCTGCCCCCGAGCGAGCGAGACAGCCAGTGATTAATGCTGGAAAAGGGCCGATGATGAGAAACCTTCTCCAGATCTAATGACTGCTTAGCGAGTCTGTATGCTTGACACCTCCTATCACTTCGCCTGTGAGTCACACTAACCCCTCACCCCAACTCTTCCGCTTCTGCTCAGCCCGCCGCAAAACCCAAATCCAGCCTGCTAACCCCCCGCCCCTCTCCCTCTCGGGGTGGGATGGGAAATTAAGCCCCTCTCTCTCTCTCTCTGTATCTCATTTCCCTCCCCCCCCGCAAACTTAACACCCATCCGTATGTGATTTTAACCCTCCACCCGCACCCTTCCAGCGCCCTGACCTACTTAATGGAATGGCCTCCCGTTCCCATGTACCAAGCTGGAGCGGGGGTCGGGGGTGGGAGCTGAATGGCCTCTTGTCGCTGTGTAACAGGCTGAAGGAGGAGGGGAGGGACAGAATGGCCTCCTGTTCCTGTGTAACAGGCTGGAGGAGGAGGGAGGGGAGGGGGCAGAATGGCCTCCTGTCCCTGTGTAACAGGCTGGAGGAGGAGGAGGGGAGGGGCAGAATGGCCTCCTGTCCCTGCGTAACAGGCTGGAGGAGGAGGAGGGGAGGGGCAGAATGGCCTCCTGTTCCTGCGTAACAGGCTGGAGGAGGAGGAGGGGAGGGGGCAGAATGGCC